TGAACAGTTGGAAGTCATTTCTTAACCTCTCCATAAGTAGATATAGACAGTCGGGAAACTTTGACCAAGTCTTATTAGTTAGTGATACATATCCATTCTTATTTATTATTAATCAGGATTTCCTATGCGTCATCTAACATCACACCTTCATGTCTGTTCAAACTGTTAGTATCTAGAATTTTATGATTGGACGTATTTTCAAAATTATGGTGTTTAGGATTAGAGTTGAGTTGAAGCACCCTGTCAAACTTATTACTTTGTCTTCTTTCTGAAAATTCAGCTGCATTATTCGACCTACTGAAGTTGTCAGGTGACTGGACAGCTACGAATTTAGGATAGGCATTCTGTTGCAGACAACGGAGAGTGGGAACACCATGATTGTGCCAATTACATAGTTTCTTTGTGAATTGAATTCGATTACAAAATAAATCAAATGAACTGTAGTCAAGATTTGACAGAATGGTTCTATAATATTTCGGCGCCGAGTGAGAAGTAGACATTTGTAAGAAATTATATTTGTAAAATCTCAGCGATATTGAAATGAGTAATTCCAACGTTTCGTTCGTCATCAATCTGGTCCGAACTTCTTCAGGGAAATTAATCGAAATTAACATAACAGAGGTTTATATGTTATAAAAAGAACATTTCTTGTTTTTAAAACACTTTGTCCAGTCATGAGCCATGCAACAGGTATCAACATACATGTATAGTAAATAAATGAATAAATAAAATAAAATTGTATGTTTATATATAAAAGTATATCTCTTGTTTTTAAATTGTTTCTCTGTCCTGTCATATGAATCAAGAAACATCTATCAATAGGTATACTAAACAAAACCAAACAAAAATTGTATGTACTATGATCAAAAATTCGACCTCAGACTTTCAAAACTTGTCTCCTTTTTTATTATAAATTATTTAAATTAATCCCAGCGTGTTAAGAAAATCAAAACTAGATTTTTCTGAACGTTTCGCCGTGTAAGCCACAGCTTCTTCAGGAGATTCTCTACTTTTCTTAAAATATATGTGTATATGCAGTGTATAATGATGTGTGTGTGTGTTTGTGGGTGGGTGGGTGAACAGTCAGAAAATTATTTGCTATTCTCATATGAGCTGTGATCAAGATTTGCCCGGATAGTTACAAAATAATTGAGATATTTTTTACAAATATAATATAATTTTTATAAATTTGTTATTCTCTTCATAAGAAGATGTAGACAATCGGGAATTTGACCAAGTGTGACTAGTTGTTGATACATATGCAATTTTTATTTATTAGTCAGGATTTGCCATGCATCAGGTAACATCACACCTTCACGTCTGTTTAAACTGTTGAGATTCACCCATTTATGTAGGGCTTCTACAGTCAGTCTTTTTTTATATGAACCAAAACCTTTCTATAAAACCTTAGTCTTATCAAAGTCGATTTTGTGTCCCGTTTCTATCGAATGCAGTGCAATCGCTGAATTGTTTTCTAGCTTCTTCAAGTCCGCAGAGATCTTTGGAACCACCTTTAGACATTGCTTATGCTCTTTTACTCTTATATTTACCTGTCTGAAAGTTTCTCCTACATATACTGCGTTACAATCCCCACAATTGATCTGGTATACGCAATTCTGCTGGTTTTCTTGTTCTATTTTATCCTTAACCTTCACCAGTAATGACTGTCCTATAACAATTAGTTTAGGCCACATAGGAAGGTGTAGACTTCCTGATTGGTTGGGGTCCTCGAGATGGTAAAGACCAATGAAGGCTGAAGACAATTGGTGATATCGCTCAAAATCCGCATTCTCAATGGATGGCGCAGATGCATCCACTCGTTGTGACTTATAATTTCCAATGAAACTATATGGTTCTTCTATACTACTATTCTTTTTTGCCTCATATATCTGTTTACTGTCTTTTTTTCCATTTCTTTTTACTTTCTTCTCTTGCTTTGTGTGCTAAGTGAGGTGTGGCGACTCGAACTTCTGCACATCAGTGCGAAGTTCTTTGTTGAAACCAATCAGGTAAGCAGACATGATCTCCTCCGTGTTAACCTTTAAACCCACTCCTAACGCATCTCCTTCAGGTCGCAATCAACGGTCTGCTTCGTGTGTGATGTTATCGGACTGTTTCATTGGCTACTAGAGTTCCTCCTTGCTTCTTGCTTATCCTTTACAGCTGGCCATGTTTTATGCGATATCCAGTAAAGGCTGCAGGTGTTTTATGAATGTTTGCAATCGCAGTCTATTGCAAAATGCATTTCATGACACTCTATGCAAAGATTTATGAAGACATTAAAGGGACTACTGCTCTGGTGTTCATCTATGCCATGATCGATTACATAGGTGATGATGCAATAATTAAAGTCCAATAATCATTTTTCGATTAATGAAGAGGCTTGAAGTTTAGTGTGTTAATGTTTTGTGTGTAGTCGAAGTCCCACTGCTGGTAAATAGAGATGTGACAGTAGTAAGGTGTTCATCTCAGACAATCAGCATGCCAACTATGCTACGTCACCGCTCTTGACTGGTGGAGTTAGATAAAATAGACCCAAAAAATCGTACATCCTTCTGTCCACAGCTGTAAGGAAGATCTTAATGTGAATGTAGACGTGATATCCAACTGTCGACTAAAGGACGTGTAAAGGTGTTCAGAAATATCAAAAATTCAATTCAATAATTTGTCTACTTTTCTTAAAATATATGTGTATATGCAGTGTATAAGGGTGTGTGTGTTTGTGGGTGGGTGGGTGAACAGTCAGAAAACATTTGCTAATCTCATATGAGCTGTGATCAAGATTTGACCGGATAGTTGCAAAATTACTGAGATTTTTTTACAAATATAATATAATTTTGATAAATTTGTTATTGTCTTCATAAGAAGATTGTTCAGAAAAAGTCATTAACCTTAAGAAATCTGCTTTTACAAGCAAACACAATGTATATACAATTTCTGTTTGTTATAATAATTATAAATGCATATTATGGGCCAAATTTCAACTTAGGGACGACAGAAGGGACAAAGATATTCAAGAGTCTTTGACCATCAACGGGAGAAATTCAAACGAATGTCGTTTCCTTTACTTACCTCCTTCGTTGTAAAAGGGTCATTGCTCTTTACCAGATCGTGGAAAACCCCCAAATGGACATTAGAAAGCAGAGAACACGAAGTTCAGCAAAGATATCTTTTCAGCGATTTCATTTTCTTCAAATTTTGTTTTTATAACTTTGTGTGGTTCCTTGAAGTTTGACAACTTGATTAGTTGCCTTTTGTACAAAGTTCTAAGTTTAAAATTCACTTCAGTTCATGTGCTAGTGTTAATCAAAATCTTTACTTCAGGAAAGTGATGCAGGTCTAACTTTTTGGGCAAACCACTGGTTTCAAAAAGTTTGCAGATACTAATAGGGATTAATAAGCAAGCGTTTTTAAATTTATAAACGCTTTATTTCTGATGAATGTACTCGTGATTGTTTTCATCCAGTTTCATTTACTGTTGAGGAAGTAAAAATTCCCCAAAGTTAGCACCCATAATTGATTGTTTTGTTGTTAACAGCAGAGAATCAGTTGATACTGACCGTTAGCTTGTCTCATACTAGTAACATTCCAGTGTTAATTTGGAGGGATTTAATTGACTTCAATTTCGATCACGAAATGACATCAATTAAAGAACAATTGAAAACTAGGGAGTACTAAATGGGTCGACCGGCTGGCTCACTTCGAAACCTGAAGGTCCCAGTTTTGGTTTCCTTGTGAACTACTGACGAAGAGTCCCAAACTAGGTCGAAACACTTGATCAGCACATCCTGGTTTCCAATGGTTCTCTAAATGATATTGATATGTATCCATATATATATATATATATATATTTATGTGTGTGTGTGTGCATGTTGGTCTCTCTTTCTGTTTGCTCGCTTAGTCTGTGACCATTTCACTTGTGTGAACTTGTCTCCTTTATTAATGTGTATTCTCCTTATATTATATTATATATAATATGAGTGTTTGTTGACAGTCCGTTGCTTAGTGACATATATCCATATTATATGTTTGGTTGTTGACATGTCTGCTATATTCACTATGTATACTTGGATCGACACTCCATTATAATTAGTCATTCATGTTAAGACTGTCTAATGATTTATTCCCACGCTTTGTCTGGAACATTCATATATAGTCGCATTCACAATCTTGTGACTTTACTTTACAACTACTTTACTTACTTACCACTTTGGTGTGATACCATTTATTTTCGTCTCCTTGTGTTTGGACAATAGAAGTATCATCGCAAACCTAGTGGTCTTCTGATTTCCGCCTTCTCGCGTCAGGACTATTAATTTCTCGACCAGTCCATAACAATAATTTAGCGACGAGTACATAACAGATATCCTTTCAGAATCCAACTTAAATAGTAAGTCGCTTTAGAATAAATATACAACTGTAAGGTGTTTAATGAGAGAAATCTACCAGCCAGTAAGAATAACTGTTCAGTGAATAAGAAAGTTGGCGCATACACGCGGGTTCAGTATACGAGAATTGTCTGTCAAACAGTACTTACAGGCGCTCTTCACCGGGTTGACTGTCCATTGGATGACAGTCTAGGGGAGATGGCTAAACCCTGATTCCAAACCTCCAACGACTGGCGTATGAAGCTCACCGGCAGACGTATGGACAAAGGGTTTATTGGATGCCCTGGATGACTGGCCCCATTCAAAAAGGCGAATGAACCGGACTCCGGTCACCGGCTGCCAATGGATAGTGGACTCCCTACTCCACTCCTACTGCCTTGTAGGTCACACTTGGTTGTGTAAAGGCTAGAGCTGCACTCTCAAACAAAAGGCCGAGCGATGCTGGGGACATCACTCGTACACAATTCCCATGAAACTTCATGGTTCATGAAGCCGGCTCATCCTCCCGTAGGAGATAGCCGAAGTAAAGTAAAAAAAGTAAGTACTTACAGAGTAGGCTTTCAAAAACTATCAAGTTTAATATATTCAGAAAAGTATAAAATAAAAACTAACCAGCAACTGGTCCATAACCAGCTTGTAATACAAATTCTGCAGGATTTTTCATTGTTTTCTCTTTTAAATCAGCCACTGACACTTTAACACGATCAGGAACATTAGCGCGTAATTTAGGGTCTGAATATTTTAGTAGGCAATAAAAACAGTCAAATTTGAGATTATTTAACAAATGAAGGTAAGTAAGCAAGTGATACTATTCGAAGCACAATCCTAAAATTGCTGACAGATATATACTGTACTTGACATTGTGGTGATATAGTCGTCTGACTGATATTAATTGATGGGAATCATATATCCATTCTAGATATTTATTATGAGTAAAGCTATAAATAATTAACTGTTTGAAAGGCAACTACAGCTTAACAGTCATCATATCATAATCGTTTACTCCACGAGTATCCCGAGGCTAACTAAAGAGTGTGTTAAAAACCGTTCAACTTTATCATTTAACAACTACTTGCACTTGCATGCAAATCGGCAATGGATCACATAAATTATGTGAGGAAGTACGAGGTGTCTACCTGGGAGAGCTGGAAAACCCTGATTCCAAACCTACGGTGTGCACATAGGCTCCGAATTCAGAACAGATTGAACGGTATATGAACTTGTTTTGGCCACTGGAAAACATGAAAATGTAGCTCCTGATGCTGTCCCACTGCCTTGTGAATTAGAGACTTCAGATCAAAGACTCAGGGAATGGCCTGTCAAGACAACCACCTGCTTTGATCTGGGAGTCTGGGCAATATCTCACCCGTCCTATAAACTATAAAATTTTGTGTAGCGCATCTCTTGATGACCGTAATGTACCAAGTTTGTTTTTGTATTAAACACATATATTATATGAGGGTTGACGATAAGCACTGCTTGCTTGAACCTCGCTAGGTGAAGTGTGGTGTTCGAATTACTGACCAAGTGAGTTGGAAGTCAGTTGTCTAAACAAGTCAGTCACGGCTCTAATGACCACTCTCATATATCATCTATGAATCATTTCTGAACAACATTTGATGAAGTCAAACTTTTAAGAAGACGATTTTTTTATGAAAACATTCAATAATTAGTTATTTATATCAATATCTAAAGAAAAAAGCTATTTAAACCTAAAATATCATTTTATATCATAATCTGAGATTTATTGGGTTAAGCAATCGACTTTCATCAGATAGGTCTTGGTTTCGAGTTCCGCTCCACCTGCTTCACAACCTGAGCAACTGGGTGGTAGCATCATCAACCCTCACACAATAAGTGTAGCTGCTCACAGCCTAGTACATAAAAAATATATTCCACGTAAAGTGAATTCGGATAAGAACAAATGAAAATAAATTAGATATTGAGAAATCACATCACTTGGAGTTAATCGATAATATAAAAATAATGAAGTCGAATAAAGAACTACCAGTAACACTATGGAGAGTAGTAGGCATTGGCTATCTTTATTTTTGTCCTAGTTAGGGATTCATCAACAGTAATGAACCCACTGGACTCCGAACCTAGGACCATCCCGGCGACAAGGCGAGCTCGTCGGTTATTCAGATATATCATAGCAGGATATAAAAATGCATACTGTATAAGATGGAACAACTTCTATATGTTTACTGTTTCAGATGAGTGAAGTAAACCTGCTGGAAAGACTATGACCTTTCAGTTACTGCGATAATAAGAACACGTGCTACACAGTTCATTTTCAGTCTGTCAAAATGAGTAGTTGATTGCAATAGGATAAGGATGAAAACACCTTAATTTATACAGCTCAGAATGCTATCACTCTATAAAGCACCAGCTTTTAATACCATCAGTTAATTAAAGTTGTATCTCATGTATTTAAGCACTTGACTTTTATCCAGAACACTATGAGTTTGAATTTCATCTCATATGAAGATATTTGAGCAGTAGGGTATTAAAGTTATCCTTCAGAACACTACATATAGTTGTTCAGTGAGGAAAATTACAATTTCACCCACTCAAACTTTTCACGAAAGTAGAATACAATAGCTAGCTTTAGCTAACCTAAATTCACACCAGTAATACGAATGAAACATTTTTTTACATTAGATTGAGAAAAAACACAACAGGAAGTGCTGTGTTGAAGCAGTGTTTGTCTAAATGGGTTTTTGTAGTAATTTATTGTACTTGAAGTATTAGTATTTCAATCTGACGGAATTATAAGAATCTAATCAAAACCCAGAGAGGGCAGCAATCAGTAATTTGTATTTAGCGGAATTAGAATGCAATTCATATAAGAAACATATCAACAGTCAACAGTAAGTATTTAAACAATACAGAGATAGAAATTGTCAATCACCACATCCGCCACACCTCGAATATCTCCTCGCGTATTTATAACGATGTCTCGGTCTGCTTGCAAGTAGCTTCGAGCTAACTGATTCTGTGATATTATTTTCATCAGTACTATCTGGACTTATTTCTGAATTATCTACAAAATCAGGATTATTAGCGGAATCAATAATATTATAATTGGAACGACCTACTTCATTTATTGTCACTTTGTCCAGGTGTCCGTTATGAACTGAGTGATCTTTGATGTCTAATATCTTCACCACTCGATTTCCCATTTTTTGTAGTATAATTCCAACAGAAGGTCTGTAGTTATTATCTGTGTAATAATGTACATTAGAAGTAGTGGACATCAGATGCTTTTTGAGAATTCGAGATTTGAATAGTTTTGCAGGACTTTCACAAGAACTTGTATGCTCTGGATTCACCAGACGTAGTCTATGCATATGCAGTAATTCCTCAATTTTATTCAGTTGCTCTCTCATCTCATTCAGGTCTTTTCGTGCTTTCGACAGTTCACATTGCAACTTAGCTACCTCATTTTTGAATACAGTTGATACTTGCGTTGCTGAACTTGCAGTGGAGGTTTTCGTTGGATTAGCTTGAGTATTTTGAAAAGTTGAAAGACACATAGACTCCATTTTACCAGACAGCTTGGGAGAATTATAAGAATGTTGAGCAACATAAGTACTCGAACTCCTGCAAACCGTCTTGATGTGTCCAACTTTACCACATTTGTGACACTTAGCACTCCGAAAACGGCAAGTGCTTCGTAGATGTAACTTTCCACAGGATAAACACGGTTTAATGTTTTTGATCTCTCGCTGCATTCTATTACCTGTGGACGGCAGTTTGGATTTCTTTCCATGAACACTTGTATTTTTGACTTTAGACAGCATGACATCAGATACTGACGTAGTGGGAGCAGAGTATTCATTATGGACATCTTCATATGTAATACATACCTCTTTAGCAGTTTGAAACGTACAAGAAGGAATCTGAATTAACTCTTTCTCTAATTTAGGAATGTTGATTCCAGCAATTAGACGATCACGTAGTTGTGTATGCAGCTGATCTACAAAATTACACTTTTAGGCTTGAATTTGGAGTTGTAGTATAAAGTCTCTTATCTTCTGATTGGGAGAACGTACCAGTTTGTTGAACTGAGCCCTCTCTCTGGTCTCAAAAGTAGTTACATGGAAGTGATCTATAAGAAGTTCACGGAGCTTAGCATATGGCATAGAAATGGGTTTATCTGGAAACGCCAGATTCTTCACCAGGCTATATGCATCAAGACCAATAGCGGTGATGAAATGAGCAGGTATTTTATCATCCCGAACATTCTTGGAAATGCACCACGCATCAAAGCATTCCAAATAATCAGCAATCTCCCGCGGAGAACCATTAAGAGGAAATTTTCCCAGGTTACTTAGCTCCATCGCGACGCCAATTTGTAGTAATTTATTGTACTTGAAGTATTAGTATACCGGGATGACGGAATTATAGGAATCTAATCAAAACCCAGAGAGGGCAGCAATCAGTAATTTGTATTTAGCGGAATTAGAATGCAATTCATATAAGAAACATATCAACAGTCAACAGTAAGTATTTAAACAATACAGAGATAGAAATTGTCAATCACCACAGTTTTTTATTTGTAGATATGCGGTTCATTGGCTTTATCATTTGTAATTACAGCTAGTGGGGTGTATGGACTGAACTCAGCTCTACATGCTTCATCCTGCGCGACAGCATAGTATCGTCAACACTCACACAATAAGGTGAGGCTCATAAACTACTGATACGTGAAAATCTATTCTGCGTAACTGAGTTCTAACTGACTTGCTAATCTTACTGCAGAATGGAGCTTTACGGTGTTTCACTAACAGGCAACTACTGTTCATCTCAAAGTTTTAGTAAACAAATTCCGCAGTTTTGTCAAATGAAGCTCAATTGTCATGCTACAATGATTTTTTTCTGGAAACTGATTTCCATTTCACTTTTCATTTAGCTGAAAGTGTAACTGTTATGTGAATGCTTAGAATAATTTTACCTGAAATGAGATATCCCCAAGGAAGACCAGTGGAATGTAACTGAGGAGCATTGAGATGAGATCGAGCCAACCAATGAATAAGATTGAACAGTAGAATTTCCAAATCTCCACGACGAGATGGAGGGAGTCCTATAAAGATGAAAACAAGATATTTATGTTATGAGAGGATTTGACACCGTTTGAAAACAAAATTGCTAAAGTTTATAGGAAAACTAGTGTTGGAGGCTGAGAAACTACACAACAAAACACAGGGCAATAAGCAGACAAATCAGAGAGGGTTCTTGAGTAAAAAAAAACGCAGCTAGATGAGGATCATGTATCATTAATATGTGTGAATACTCATTTACAGCTTGTTGCATAAAAAAGACTGGCATTTGATTTCCGTCTTAATCTATGGGTCACATTACTTCATAGGAGAAAAGAAGGTAAAACCTAAAAGCTAATACGTCAAACAAATGAGATCAATGAGTTCAACAATTTGAAACTTACCAAATACAAACAAACAGCTGAATAAAATAATTCAACCAACTAAGAGAAACCAATCAAACGAAGTAGAGTTAATTAGCACTGTAAGCTTGAGCATACAAATCCATCTTTATTCATTCATTCAAAGTGACTAGTCAAAAGAAGACTTAGTAGGACAAATGTGATGAGAGCTGTCTGCAAGACAAATTGTAGACAACAATTAAAGTCAATGTTTACGTCCCAAATCGAGGTCATAAGAGAAAGAACAAAGCCTAACACCTTGAGGAACTCAATAACCAATCACAGCAGACTTAGCGTTGGCGGATACGATTCGCTGATATATCATCAGACTGTCTAAGAAAAGGCAACAAAGAGATGACAGGATAACCTTCAGAAGGAAAACAACCAATCAGAAGACTTTGCTTCTCTGCTAACAATAACGAATAATAATGTACATAAAAATCTACAAATATCTCTTGATTTTCTCAATAAATGATCTGTTGCCTGGCCCTTGTCTTCTATCGTTACACAAATAACAGCAACATTTTCAAAACTAGTGACTGTTTTATCTTTGTAAACTATTTTTGAATCAGTCTTAGTCTATATATCACTTGAAGAACATAAAAATTGCTTAGGCCTATATACTCTACATTATTACAACACATTATCTTCATATACGAAAATCAACTTCGAAATGAAACTTAAAACAAAATATGACACTGCACTTTGACACAACTGAAACTGTATGAGAATGGTGTACATTATTCATTATGCATTTAAATAAGCACCTTACACAAACATGCATGAATGGAAGTTGTCCAATTTTCTAACGAGCGCTTCAGAAATTGACATATACGGTACCTTAATTATCATAAAATGATGACATTTCTAAGGGAAAATAAACAGACAAACAGGATATATTACATACCAGTATGTGCACCTAGAAATGTCCAGCAAATTTTAATCATCTCAGGAAAGTCGTATGACTTAGACCAACTAAGTGACATGGCAGAGAGTATTTTGGATGTTTTATCCGATAACACCATAAGTCACGTAGCATCTGATAGTGCCACACCGTGTCATTCCACACCCACGGCAGACACACCGATACTCGCCGCCATTGTAGACTTAGCGGCAAGGATTGACAATTTGGAAACTAATAAGTCTGATCGACAAGTCCGGAGACGGAATTCACAAAGAAGGTCACCATCACGACGACGATCCTTCTCACGACAGCGTTCTTACACGTCTTCTCGGGATATTAATATATGCTGGTATCACTGGAAGTTTGGACGTCATGCCCTGAAATGTGTAAAACCGTGCAGCTTTAGCGAAGCCAACCAGGCTCAGGGAAACGCCTCAGCCAGACAGTGATGGCGACAGCTGTTACTGGCAAGCAAACAAGTCGCCTCTTCTATGTGAAGGATAAAACTTCAGACACTTTATTCCTGGTAGACACGGGAGCAGAAGTTAGCGTAATCCCTCCTTCACTATCCAGGCGATCTACACGGACACCCGGAAAACTGTCTCTCCGGGCAGCTAACCACACAAGCATACAGACGTATGGAGAGCAATCCCTCATACTGGATCTAGGTTTACGTCGGCGTTTCACATGGATTTTCATAGTAGCCGACGTCAGTCACGCCATCCTCGGAGCAGATTTCTTGAGTAATTTCAACCTGTTAGTTGACGTCAACAATAAAAAACTGATTGATAACAACACCCATCTAAAGATCCATGGAATTATCTCCAGCTATTCTGTCTATAATATCAGTATTGAAAGACCAGCAGATTGCCCTTTTTCCTCCCTACTTCACCGTTTCCCTAAAATTCTTAAGCCGTCGTACAACATCGAGGACGTCCCTCACACAGTTACTCACAAGATAGTTACTACGGGTCAACCAGTTCGTGCTCGTCCCCGTAGATTACCCCCGGACAAATTGGCAGCAGCCAAGGCAGAATTTGAACACATGATGCAGCTCGGCATCATCAGACCCTCCAATAGTCCTTGGTCTTCGCCCTTACACATGGTGCCTAAAGCTGATCATGATTGGAGGCCATGTGGGGATTACCGACATTTAAACAATGCCACAGTTCCCGACCGTTATCCTATTCCTCATCTTCATGATTTCTCCCTGACATTACACGGAAAAACCATTTTTTCTAAAGTAGACTTGGTCAGGGCCTATCACCAAATACCAGTTGCCCAAGAGGATATCGAAAAAACGGCCATCATCACACCTTTCGGTTTGTTTGAATTTCTCCGCATGCCATTTGGCCTAAAGAACGCAGCACAATCCTTCCAACGTTTCATGGATCAGGTCACACAAGGTTTGGACTTTGTATTTGTATATATCGATGACGTTTTAATTGCTAGCTCGTCGCCCGAAGAACATACTGATCACCTCACCATCTTATTTCAACGATTTGAGCAATATGGAGTCGTCATTAACCCCAAAAAGTGCATATTCGGTGTCTCCTCTATACAGTTTCTGGGACACCACATAACCGCGAATGGTATTACGCCTACGGAGGAAAAGATAGAGTCCATCAAAAACTTCCCCGAACCAGATTCACTCAAGAAGGTCAGACGTTTTTTGGGGATGTTTAATTTCTATCGGCGTTTCATTCCTTCGTGTGCCTCCATCGTCCAGCCGTTAACCGACCTCCTTAAAAATGATCCTAAAAAGTTTCAGTGGTCAGCTGAAGCACGCGAATCATTTTGCAACGCAAAAGATGCCTTATCCAGAGTCACTATGCTATCCCATATCAACCCCGAAGCGTCGCTTATTTTGTGCACAGATGCCTCCCAAGTAGCTGTAGGGGCAGTATTACAACAAAAGATGAAGGGCGAAGTCACCCCACTCGCATTCTTTTCTAAGAAGTTGGAACCGGCTCAGACACGATACAGCACTTTTGGGAGAGAATTGCTGGCCATATATCTTGCAGTGAAGCATTTCAGTTACTTACTACAGGGCCGGCATTTCACTATTTGTATCAACGGATTTTATTTTACTGTTATGCTATCATAACACTCTGTAGTCGTATTCTTCTGAACTATCTATTATAACTAACTACTGTCTCTTAACTACACTGTGAATCCTAAGTATCAACGGATTTTATTTTACTGTTATGCTATCATAACACTCTGTAGTCGTATTCTTCTGAACTATCTATTATAACTAACTACTGTCTCTTAACTACACTGTGAATCCTAAGTATCAACGGATTTTATTTTACTGTTATGCTATCATAACACTCTGTAGTCGTATTCTTCTGAACTATCTATTATAACTAACTACTGTCTCTTAACTACACTGTGAATCCTAAGTATCAACGGATTTTATTTTACTGTTATGCTATCATAACACTCTGTAGTCGTATTCTTCTGAACTATCTATTATAACTAACTACTGTCTCTTAACTACACTGTGAATCCTAAGTATCAACGGATTTTATTTTACTGTTATGCTATCATAACACTCTGTAGTCGTATTCTTCTGAACTATCTATTATAACTAACTACTGTCTCTTAACTACACTGTGAATCCTAAGTATCAACGGATTTTATTTTACTGTTATGCTATCATAACACTCTGTAGTCGTATTCTTCTGAACTATCTATTATAACTAACTACTGTCTCTTAACTACACTGTGAATCCTAAGTATCAACGGATTTTATTTTACTGTTATGCTATCATAACACTCTGTAGTCGTATTCTTCTGAACTATCTATTATAACTAACTACTGTCTCTTAACTACACTGTGAATCCTAAGTATCAACGGATTTTATTTTACTGTTATGCTATCATAACACTCTGTAGTCGTATTCTTCTGAACTATCTATTATAACTAACTACTGTCTCTTAACTACACTGTGAATCCTAAGTATCAACGGATTTTATTTTACTGTTATGCTATCATAACACTCTGTAGTCGTATTCTTCTGAACTATCTATTATAACTAACTACTGTCTCTTAACTACACTGTGAATCCTAAGTATCAACGGATTTTATTTTACTGTTATGCTATCATAACACTCTGTAGTCGTATTCTTCTGAACTATCTATTATAACTAACTACTGTCTCTTAACTACACTGTGAATCCTAAGTATCAACGGATTTTATTTTACTGTTATGCTATCATAACACTCTGTAGTCGTATTCTTCTGAACTATCTATTATAACTAACTACTGTCTCTTAACTACACTGTGAATCCTAAGTATCAACGGATTTTATTTTACTGTTATGCTATCATAACACTCTGTAGTCGTATTCTTCTGAACTATCTATTATAACTAACTACTGTCTCTTAACTACACTGTGAATCCTAAGTATCAACGGATTTTATTTTACTGTTATGCTATCATAACACTCTGTAGTCGTATTCTTCTGAACTATCTATTATAACTAACTACTGTCTCTTAACTACACTGTGAATCCTAAGTATCAACGGATTTTATTTTACTGTTATGCTATCATAACACTCTGTAGTCGTATTCTTCTGAACTATCTATTATAACTAACTACTGTCTCTTAACTACACTGTGAATCCTAAGTATCAACGGATTTTATTTTACTGTTATGCTATCATAACACTCTGTAGTCGTATTCTTCTGAACTATCTATTATAACTAACTACTGTCTCTTAACTACACTG